CTTCCACTGAAGCCGAATACAGGTCTGTTGCCAATACCTCGGCCGAAATCCAATGGCTCCTCAACCTTCTGTCCGAGCTCTCAATATCCTTGCCAAGTCCGCCGGTAATTTATTGTGACAACATCGGCGCGACGTACCTTAGTGCCAACCCGGTTTTCCACTCCCGCATGAAGCATTTGGCGCTCGACTATCTCTTTGTTTGAGGACAAATCGAGAAAGGAACTCTTCGGGTAGCACATGTTAGTTCGAAAGACCAACTAGCAGACGTCTTAACCAAGCCACTTCCACGACCGCTGTTCACTACATTCTGCTCCAAGATCGGCCTTACCGACGGCGATCCGACTTGCGGGGGCGTATAAGGCAATACATATATTTCCGTAATATTGTTACATCCCAAACTTGTATATTTCCTTTGTTGTATTAGGGTTGCATCCCTAACCTAAACTCTTGTATATATTCTAATGGAATGCAATGGAATACGCAGCCGTTCTTTTACACAATCGAAACTCATCTCTCACAAACTCTCATAACGACATGGATTTTTTGGGTATGTTTATATATATATTTTTATTTCGTTAACGTGACATGTGGACAAATTTGTTAATATGCATACATTTTTTATGTACTATTTCGAGGAAAAAATAACTCTATGGATTTTAGAATTATATATATATATATATATTTATATATATATTTGTATTTGTCTAATAATAATGGACTGATTGTCGATATTGGGGAATATGTCAGTGATTTTTTTTTTTGTAATCAATAGGAACCACAATTTGAATTTACCAGTGGCATTATCTCTCCCTTGGCCTCTTTCTATGTCTCTCTCTCCACGCGAACATGCTTACGTGTTCAATCTTCGTTAACAGTAACCAACCTTCAGCGGAACAAATTATTTTCTCGAGGCCCATATTGCATTGAGATAGCCCATTACGGCCCAATAAGCGTTTCCTCAATTTGAAAGGATATAGTTTTTCCGCTCAATCATTTTTAATTTAGTTTTTTTTATTAATTTGGGCTGATTATGTTTCTATTTGGATTTGTTTTTCATTGAAAATTTCAATAGTATTTCTTTTTCTATTTTGGATTTATTTTTTCAAAAATATTTATTTCAGATTTTATTAAATTAGATATATTTAGTTTTTATGTAGTTTTGTTTGATTACGTTTATATTCGGATTTATTTTACCGATAAATGATTATTTTCAAACCGGTTTTTAAATTACTATTTTTATTTCGTATTTTAATTTTTTTCGTTTTAGAAATTATAATCCGATTATATATTATTCGATTTGGATAAATTCGATTTTACATTTTAAAAAAATGGCCATTAGGAGAAATTGTAAGCCTATTGTGTACATTTTTCAGACCACATCCACCGAAAAATCAGGAAGATCAGAGACGACGGAGAACTTGAGCCATCTCTTCTTCTCCGCGAGCTCAAGACACGGTTTCATCACAAGCCCCATCACTACAATCCCAACACTAACTCCGGCCACTTTCAAGCTCGAAGAGACCGTTACCGTTATAATCAGTACGGTCGGAAGAACACAGATGCCGACTGATCCTACGGTTCCGACCGGAATCTTGTACGGTCGCGACGCATTCGGGTATTTCTTCCTCATCCTTACGAAGGCGATGAACTCTAAGATCATTCCGGAAGAGTAGAGTAAGTTCTCCACTGCCACAATCTCTTGGAAACTTAGCCAAGACAAGAGGATTACACCCGAGGCTGAGAGCATGTTCCCCATCAATGGCGTTCCATGGCGAGATCTTCTGCCGAAGAACTCAGGGATCATGCCAGTTTCCGCCATGCCCAGAAGCTGAAACGAGTCGCTGCTCATCTCTGCTAAGAACATACCCATGTTCGATGTTGCTGCTGCAACCTCAACCCACCATCTTAACCATGTTCCTCCGAGGATTTTGGCTACTTCTGCGAGATACCCATCAGTCCACAGCTCTCGATCTAGAGGGACAGCACCTGTTCCTGTCAGAAGCGGGAAGATGTAGGAAGCTATGACCAGGATCAAAGCGTAGAACAAAGATCTTGGAAGGGTCTTGCTAGGGTTCTCCACTTCACCAGCGAGTGTGCTGATCGAATCCCAGTGGTTCAGATTCCAGAAGAGAGTGTTCAGATACAAGTTCCAGTCCACGTGGCGAATGTCCACTACGAGCCATCTCGATGGGTTTAGCTTTGGGATTGAGATGAGACCCATTAGCAGAAAGGGAAGGAGGGAGAGAATCCCGAGAAGAACAGTGGCAGACCCTACAATGGCTAAGCCTCTATAGTTCAAGTAGGTCAGCATTAGAGTCAAGGCCAAGACCGCCATGGTTCGTGGCCAACCTCCACTGAGAGATGGGATTTCAGACTTGAAGTAATCGAGGAATAGGACTGGATACAAGGCGTTATCCATAACGCCGCTCAGCCATTTCATCCAACCGAGCTGAAATCCCCACAAGGGTCCTAAAGCGGAGGAGACCCAAACCACGTAGCCGCCGTTCGCATTGAACATCGTCCCCATCTCTGCAGTGATCAATGCCTCTGGAACACACCACATGAAAGGGAAGATCAGAAACCCTAGAATGGCCAACAGTGGTCCTGCTGCTTTTACACTGTCCTCCGCCCCGAAAGCTCCGCCTGAAACTTGGTAGAAGATGAGGAAAACGAGTGGCAAAACCGATATTTTCCGGGACTTGTCGGATTTATGCGGCGGAACATAGCCGCCGGAAAAACCATCGGCGGCGACGTTGACGTGTTCAACACCGTTGTAACGTCCAGTCTTGAGAGACTCGGGCGGTTTTCCGGCGACGGCGCTCGTCAGCTTCTGCATAACGTAATCCAGATTCAATGGTCAGATCATGAAAGGATTATTTGAAACTAGAGTATTCATAACTGAATTCTTTTGTATACACATATTTCAGTCCAACAAAAATAATTGATGTATATGGAATATATATATATATATATATATATATATATACACACATATATGAATGTGTGTAAATATTTTTTTGGATGATATGATGATAAAAAAAAAACGGAAAACAGTTAACATGAATTGAAAAGTTTTGATTTCTGATTTACTCAATATAAAAAACAAAAAATCAAAAGAAAAATCGTATTCGTATTTATTATTAAATTATACGATGTCATTCAAAGCTATTTAATTTATTTATTTTAAATAAATTCATTTTTTCTTCTGTCAAAACCTTTTATCTATATATACCACATATATAATATATCAGAAACATAACATTTTCAGCCATCTACATCAATTAACATACGCAAAGTTTAAAGTTTACTTATTAAAAATTAGTACAAAAAAGTGACAAGGATATAAGAGCATAGCTACCTGTCCATTGTCAACCCTCTCCGGCGGCGGAGTGAGAGTTGCCTGATCCGCCGCCGCGTGACCTTCGCCGGAACTTCCATGAATTTCGACCATGCCGGAAACTATGGCTAATACAGTGACTAGACACATCATGTGTGTATATATATACACAAGTGTGTTCTCCCACAGACCTACCCACTAATCCATCATATGGATATTTTTTATGTATGTAATGTGCATTATCGTATGTATCCATTTGATTTGTGTATCGCATAATTAAATGCAAATGAGATTTTATGTTTGTCGTATTTGTATTTACGACATAAAGGGTAAGTTTTAAAATCATATAATAAAACATTCGCAGATAATAAATAACATGTCGTTCCACTAATATGGTGACGAAACCATGACATCACCGGTACGTGTTTCTGCAAATTTTATAAAATGAATCAACTTTCATAATTTTTTTTTAATACAAAATAATATGACTTATAAAGAGAAAATTTAATTAAAAAATCAGGAAAGAAAAGGATATGGTAATTATGCTGCTGGTATAACTAAACCGATATTCTTAATCTAACTGGGTCGGCTGGTATAACTGTCTGGGCTTTGTATTGAAAATGAAAGCCCATAACTGCCCCACAGGTGTAATTAATTAATATATATATATATATATATTTTTTTTTGTATTTAAAGCACCGATTTCAAATATATCATGGGAGTTTTAAAATTTTGAAATTAGTTTTTTAAATAAAATTAATGAATACATTTTTTTTAATTATTATTACGTGTGAACTAAAATTCCTTTATTATTGGATTGAGATAAATTCATGATCCGCTCATTATAAGGTATATATACTAAGAAAAAAAAAGCATATAAAATTATCAATTATTTCACCATATTAAGGAACATATTCTTTGTGTGGTACCCACGTTAATCGGACCAGCAAATCCACGATGCGCATGATTCCACGTGTCAGGTTTATGTCTCTGACGAATATTCTTTTTATTTTTATTTTTTTTTCTCTCAATAGGGAAAAATCTTGGGTCTTGGCAATTGGCATATGCATATATACACTCTCCACTCGTCATCTTCGTTTTCTCCGTCTCACACTGTTCTTCCATTTGCTTCTGCAACTTCCGTCGTTGTCGTCGTCCAGATCTTGTATCATCTCAGATCAGTGAAAGCTACTGGACATGGGTTTGCAGGTTTCATCCGATCCGATTTCTTCCTTTTCTATCTGATGCGTTTTTTTTCTTCTTCTGGAATTTATCGGTGAATCGCGTGGAAGATAACTCGTTTATGATCGATCTGTTTGGATTTGCTCTGTTGAATTGCGTCTCTCTGAGATCTGTTATGCTATAGTTTCCTTCGATTTGTGTGGATTTTCTCGGAGAGACTGGATCTTCGGTTTGATTTCTCGGCAGGATTCCTCAATGGTGCTTTGTTTGATCGATCCGTCGGTTTGATTGCTCTGTTGTTTCACATTTCTTTGAAGAAGTGATTCCGTCTTCAATTTTGTTTTGTTAATTCCGGTTTCTTGTTCATAGGCTCATAGAGTAGAAACAAAGTATACTGTTTTCTTATTTCCTTGTGCACATTTTACAACCGGAAGTGGCAGGATCAAGGGAATCACTTCAGGGTTGTATTTGAAATTGTCGAAATTACCGTAAAGTGGTTTCTGGGTTTGTCTATTGTTAACCTCAGCTGAATCCGAACGGTCTATGTTGTTATATCTGCATAACTTTCGCCGTTGCATTGCTCATGTTCATCCTATCCACCTTTTCCTTGTCTAGAATTGTTCGGAGAGGGTCGTGAATGGTTGAATGTTGGCGCTTATCCGTTGTGTTGAATCTTGATTTGTTTTACAACTATTGTATCCCGCCATTAAATCTGTCCCTGGATCTTCTTATTGTGAAGTTTTAATGGTATATATAATTCTCGCTCCCTCTCTTTGATTGGCAAAAGATGATCATGCTCATTGATATCTTCTGGTTCTGTTCAATGCAGGAGGAATTTGAGGAATATGCCGCGAAAGCTAAGCAGCTTCCAGAGAACACATCGAACGAGAACATGCTCATCCTTTACGGACTCTACAAGCAAGCCACTGTCGGACCAGTGAACACCAGTTAGTATATATTGTTCTGTCCTTTTTTCTTCATAGTTTATAGACACACCTAAGATCTTCACTTTGAGTTCTTGGTTCGAACCCTTTTGTGATGTTTGGATGCTTGGATTGCTTTGTCCTTTGGCAGGTCGTCCGGGAATTTTCAACATGAAGGATAGGGCCAAGTGGGATGCCTGGAAGGCCGTTGAAGGTAAGCGAACTCGGATCTCGGTTTGTAAAAGGGCATACCCTTTTGCCAAAACACTATGATTCACCGATCAAGTGATTGAATCAGTCATGGTGAAATGGCCGAAGTTAGAGTATTGCAATATGAATTCTGAAAAAGGTTCACCCATATGCGGTTTTGACGACACAGGGAAATCAAAGGAAGAAGCAATGAGTGACTACATTACCAAGGTGAAGCAACTCCAAGAGGAAGCTTCGGCTTCAACCTGATCCATGCGTCGTCACCATCATCATCAGTCCACTATGATATATACATAAAAGGGGGAGAAGAGCTCCGTACGTATGAGAACACTTACTCTAATAACACCCCAATAAACTATGACAATTCGTAGTTCTCTCAGTAATTTCATGAATCATGATGCTCTTTTGTGTTAATTGTTTTAAGAAATATTTACTCAAGTGATTATCGTAATTTTATCCTTAATTCCATACTTATATGCATGCATGCATGCATGCATGTTTGCCTTTTCTCTATGAAATGCTATTATGTAAGGTCACATGAATCAATTCCTATTAAGCATACGCATTGTTCGAAAAAAAAAAAAAAAAAAAAAAAAAAAAAAAAACGATCCATCACGTATTCCCCCTTAATTTTGAATAATCTTTCACTGCAATTTTCTTTATTCTAATCCTATGATTCTCTTTCTTTATTAATTACACTAAAAATAAATTACGTCCAAAAAGTATGGATTTTCTCAATTAGAAAAACTTAAAACTCGTGGAAGTGAAAAAGAATGTGATGAAATTTACATTTCAATGTTCGCATTTTGATCGTAAAGCCACAAAGGGTGACTGCGGTGGTTCTGTACATTTTGCAATAAAAAGGCTATTCTTTGCATTTCCGTATCTTATATATATATATATATATATATGTGATCAGAAGCTAAGACATGTCCAACAACTGCTGCATTTGTCGTACGGGCGGACAGGACAGCTTACACGGATGCACAATGGATTTCTCTGACGTTTCCGTTTCTTTCCCTTCTGCAAGTTTCTGTTTATGCAAAATGCCGAAAAGGGTCAAGAACGAGCCGAGGAAACTTCGTCTCGGGAAGGTCCAGAAGCTTCCATTCCGGCTACTGGAAGAGAGGGTATGGCCGGAGGAGGAGGTGGTTTGGTTCTTCCGGTTACTGCCATTTTCAGCCCTTCCGTTGTGTGTATGGTAGCTCCTGTAGTCATTCTCACCTGCATATGTTGTTTCATTAAGATTCAAGATTCAGTCCATTTCTCAAATATTTTGCATCTTTTTTCGAATTCGAAACAAGAATGTAACGAGAATTCATATCAAGATTTGGTTCATCTTCAAATCTTTGTGAATCTCTTTTCGAATTCGAAACAAGAATGTAATGTACTGAGATTGATTGCTCATGGCTTACCGGGGGAGCCCCAGGTGCTATCTGGAATTCAAATCTTCGAATAAGCATAGCCACCGCAACCACCGTCTACGTAAAAAAAGAGATCTTTCTAACAAACGAGCAATAAAAAATGAACAAAAGCTTGTTGTCTTGGTTAATACAGCTCATGGCTAGATTCTGATTAGACTCATAGATTTTAGAAATTTTTAGTTATTGGAAAGTTAGGATATTTAGATAATACATACACATTTGTATAAACGGGCATTGATCAAAGAGATAGATTGAGGTTGCATACTACTAACAATTGTATTCCGTTTCCTGAATTATGCAAAAGTTTAGATCTTTATCGTTTTCTACGATAGGGCCGATTCCGATCCTATCAGTTTCTTTGTAATGGTAAAGTCATATATCCATGGAAAACTTTGCAGGAGTTTTTTTTTTCTCCGGTTTTTAGTTTATTCTTTACCTCAAATGAAGCAAACATGTCGCCTACGCATTTCCGTGGTCCTCCACCAAAGGGTAAGTAACTGGGCGAAGAAAAATGCCATTGGTGTTAGTTCGGTTTTCGTATAGATATTGTGGAAGATAATCATGTGATAACTCAAAGGATGTAACAATACCAGAAGTTTTGGTTAGTCTCGTTCGGGTTTGGTCCATCTAGAGGCCATCTCTCGGGATTGAACTTCTCGGCCTCATCCCAAAGCAGTGGACTCCGATGAAGATTCCAAACAGAGATGAATATATCTTCTCCCCTATTTAAGTTTTTCCAAACACAAGCGGTCATTACATTATCATTGCCCTTTTCAAATTTAGCCTTGGTTCTAAGCTTTACAGGTGAAGCTCGTTTTCTTTCACTTTTTTGTAAGTGGTATAATGAGTAAATGAAATGAAGAAGAATTAAGATACTGATATTGAAAAATTCAACCTTGTTATAGGATACTGTCCAAGCACATCATTCTCTTGAGATCGTCGGATTAATACTGGTGGTTGTGGATATAGCCTCAACGACTGCGAAATTCGAAAAAACAACAACATCAAGCTGCAAGAACGTCAAAGGTTGTCAAAAGAACATTGCCGGAGCAAAAGATTTTGATCCCCTTTACTTCATTGATGACTCGGGTAGTGTACTTGAGCTTCTTCATATCTTCTATGGTTGGCCACCTATCCCCAATAACAGAATCGACCTGACAAAGAATAAAAAAAAATCTAAAAATATATATTTCTCAACAAATATTTTCTATAAGATTGTATGCAAGAACAATACATACATATATACATACATACCTCTTCTTGGAGTTTGGTGACTACACTGGGTTCCTGAAACGCTAACAAGCTATATATCATTAAGCCGAAGAGATAATTTTACTACCATGGGCAAGTACAGTACTGCTAAATTTGCTATTCCTCTTTCGAGTGTAAAAAAAACTGAAGCAGTATTGACATGCACACTACTTTTGTTAAGAGGTAGAAGGTCCATGTCAAGACTGCAGCCGAGGTTTCATGCCCGGCAATGAGCATTGTCATCAAATCATCACGAAGTTGTTTGCTCGAGACCTGAACAAATTTAGTGAAAGATTGGTTCACCTTTAAGCATGATGAAGCAGAAAGATACCATACCAATACATACATCATCTCCCGATGCTAAAAGGAAGTGAAGTATGCTAGGATCTTGTTCGTTCATGTATTCCTCGTGAAATTGCAGCTCCTCTTTTTCAACCAATCTCTGTCAGGGGCAACCGGAAATAAGAAAATGGAGAGATGGGTCAAAGGTTAAAGGGTCATGCAATATCCTTAGTTTATAGCAGAAAGGCAAATGGCTTGTGCCAACAACCGACTTCAATAATCATACCAGTGGCTCAGGAAATGAGAGTCATAACCAACATGATAAAGTTAGTAGAATTGTCAAATTAGCATAAGTTTACATTATCAATATTAACAGATTTTTCTTCTTTTTTGTTGAGAATTGATTGTTATTCTCTCTTTTCATCCGTATTCCTATTGAAAAAGATATAACAAAATAGAAAAGACCACCATTGTATGTAAGCATTTTGAGGTCTGCGGATATGATGTTTTCACCAACAAATAGTTGAAATCGACATGCAAAGTGTACCTAGAATCAAAGAATTATACTGAAAGAAGAAAGGAATATCTAGAATCAAAGAGGAGGATCATCTTTCCCTCAGCATAATTCACCAAGGGTGTGTACCTTGCATGTTGCAATCAAATCATCCAGCGTGTTATTGATCAATTTCAGAGCAGATGTAACTTTCCTCTGCCTTGGTGAAATATCTTTCCAGATGGGTATGTCCCATACAGGAATAGGTGAAACACTTCGATCTTCAGCTTCTCTTAAAAGAGTGTAAACTGCCTAGCATTAGAGAAAGAAAAAGCTTCCATCAAAAGGGATGCAACCGAACAAGATGAAAATTTCAGAAAAATGTAATTAACCAAAAAAAATAAAACGAAAGTACAATAGAAAGCAATACCTCAATCACACCAGTATCATTAGTTAGCGAATCAAAGTCATAATTGAAAACTGCCTTGCCAATAATATCAAGGGTCAAACGTGAAAAGAGCGATTCCATCTCTACTTGTTCTCCTGTTGATGCAGCAGCATTTAGCTTCTGGCAAAGCCTATCAGAAGCTTCTCCAAACAAGTTGATCATAGCTGCTACATACTAAGCAAGAAATGCAAATGTAAATGATGACTATATTTTCAGCTCGAAAGAATCACGAAACCATGTGAAGTATTTGACTTTTCGTTTTTTTACACATACCTTCTGATGTAATGCAGGGACTATAGCCCGCCTTCTTACACGCCATATTTCGCCATCAGCAGGTATGAGTCCTTTTCCCATGACAAAATCGAGAATTTCAGCTAAAATCCCCTAAAAAGTTGAAATTGAAAGATATAAGGAAGACGGAAAACAAGAAAAGAGGCGGTTATATATTCCCTGCTAGGAAAAATCACAAACAAAGAGTTAGAATTTACCTTGGAATAAGCTTTTGAGTTGTCCTTCAATATATGCTTAGCGATAGAAGGATCAGATACGATCAGGAATGACTACAGACAAAAAACCAACACAAGACTGGATCCTCATTCATGCTCAAAACTATTTCTCTTAATTAAAAGACAAAAAATTTTAAAAAGAAAAAACAAACCTTTGGTCCAAAAGTCAACCTGAAAATTCCTCCATATGTAATGTAAAGCTCGTACAAAGGGATGAAAAAAGGTTCATTTCGAACAGCACGGATCGATCCCTTCGCCTCGGGAATTTTAGGGTAGTCCTCGCTAGCTTCAACGCCCTTAAACAAGAAATCCAGAATACCGACTGGAATTCCAAGCTTTGATAAACCATTCTTCACTGTGGATGGAAAACTTGTAACAAAGAAAAACAAACAGAAGCAGGTTTATCAGGCAAGAGACTCTGAGAAGTATAATATAAAAGCATGTTTTTGAAGGATACTTTCAAGTTTCAAACCAGTTTCCTAAAAAGCTGATATCATACCATTACTCAAATTATATCCAATGACTTCCATGGTTTTCTTATTATAGTTTTGAGCAGTACAAATATCTACAAATCTTAAACCTTAACCAAGTCAACAGGGTGCATTTCTCTGATTGAATTTCCAACTAAACGAAGAAAATTATCCATAAATCATTCTATCTCTGGAAACCTAGATATTGCAGACAATCCTAATTTCATCACATCAGTGGCTGGAATGAATACCTTATCACCCGTTGATCATTAGCAAACTGAACTGAGGAATCAAAGCTCATGCATACGTTCCTTGATATTCCAAATCAAATCTTATCTTCATGCATTTGTTTCTACTAAAATACCCATGATTTTTAGGAAAGAATGAAGAGCAAATTCCAGAGAATGGATCTTTATGTTCGAACTACAGTAACACTGAAGTAAACCTCGTACTTCGGATTGAAGATCACTTAACCTAAATTTCTTCAGACCTAGTACCAAACTCGATCACTTTACTGATTTCGACGATTACCACCAAAACCCACTTCAGTACCGCTGAATCAGAACATTTTTATGCCGCAATTACTATCGAGCCTCCGAATTTCGGGGTAGAAACGGAAGAGAGAATACCTAGATTTGCGAACGGTGAATTCCCCAGAAGCAATCCGAGCAGACAATTCAGCTCGGCGCTTCTCCTCCAGAAGTTTATCGACGCTCCTCACGCCATTGTCGTCGGCGGGATCTCTACCATTCGAAGAGGAGCACGCGAAGAGCTTCGTTCTTCTAGAGTTCGTCATCGGTTTGACGAAACTCGGGGAATACGAAATAGGAAATGCCATAACCATTGAAAGAAAAAAAAGAGAGGAGGAAAACCCCAGAAGAAGAAGAAGAAAAAGTACCCGGAAACAGGGGAAACCTCAGTTGCGGGGTAAGAAGCAGAGGAAACCCAAGAAAATGTGGGAGTGAAATGATTGGGAGACGATAAAATGTTAGAGAAAGGTTGGCGCGGTGGAGACGATGGAAAACCTGCCGAGAGAGAGAGAGAGGGGAACATGCACCAACATAGATTCATTATCTGTAGTTGCTGCTATTAACTTGACAAAAGGAAAAAAAAAATAGGTATATTTTTTCACTTGAATTGCATGCTTATTTAAATACGTGTATTTGGTTATTTAAACCACAACGTACAATTATATATTTAACGATCGTATTGATATGATTTCACTACATATTTATATTCCGTATTATTAAGAAAAAAAACAGATTGATATGATTTTGGTGGTCGAACCATTGGGAATATAAATGAAGATTGCTAATCTCACTCTTCAAAAATGCAATTCCAGTATATTTTTTTTAAAAACAAAAATAACAGAATATCTGTAATTTTTTAAAAACAAAACAAAATCAAATAAAAAAGTGATAAACAAAATATTGGGCCTGTTCGGACTAGCAGCAGTAAAGGTCATGGGCCAATTGAAAATTAAATGGGCCTTTTCTGAAACGGTTACAAAGCAATTTCCTGCCTTATTTTTTTGAATATAACGACACACAAATTGCTATTATTATTATTATTATTATTATTATTATTATTATTATTATTATTATTATTATTATTATTATTATTATTATTATTATTATTATTATTATTATTATTATTATTATTATTATTATTATTATTATTATTATTATTATTATTATTATTATTATTATTATTATTATTATTATTATTATTATTATTATTATTATTATTATTATTATTATTATTATTATTATTATTTTGTTAATTATTCGATCCAATGCAATAATGTGTGCATTGTAAATTGATAACAGGAGAACCAAAAAGGTGGAATGAACAGAACAAACATAAACTACTTAACTAAAGTAAATTCGTAAGACATGCATTGTGGAGATTGGAAACTAATGTCTAGAAACAACATAATTAAAAAAAAAGGAAAATTAACTACATATAGAATCTAAAAATACAAGGCAGAAAAGAAACTTTTTTTTTTTTGGGAAATTTCACAGATAAGTAAAACCCCAAGAAACTTCAAGCATTTTTTATATATTTATGAATTTGATGAAGGAGAAAAGTGACCTGGTCGGATTCTGTTGGGAAGAGGTCGAGCAATGAGGCCGTCAGTGACCCAACCAACAGATTCGCTGTCGGTTCTGACATGTTCGAACTCTCTTCTTACATAATCTAAAGACGAGTGAAGCCGGCCACCTGGTCTGCACTCTGCATCCGTACCTGTAGCTTCCATTCCCGCTTGCTTCTCCAACCAGTAGAGATAGTTCACTTGAAACAACGACTTCAACATGTCTTTTGGCGTCGAGCTCTCCTTTAGCATCACCTGCATGTTACAGAACGCGATATCATCGATATGAGCATCATCTCCATTGGCATATATGGTAGCGAATGCTGGGCAGCGACCGAGATAGGATATTGCAATGGATGTGAGAACACACAAGAACTGGTAGAATTTGAAATGAGAGTATTTGAGATAAAATAGGAGTAGCAAATATAGAAGAGAAATTACGAGATGAATGTTAAGGTGGTTTGAAAATGTAAAAATAGATCGATATACGATCCGTTTAAAAAAGTAGAGAACATAGGTAATAAAAGAGAAAAAGAAATATAGGGGTATACCCAGATTAAGAGATGGAAAATTCATGCGACCGCTAAATAAATTTGGGATTAAGACGTTGTTGTTGTTGTTGTTGTTTTTGAATCTAAGAAATGAAACTTTGTCGGGTCGATGAGTTAAGAAAAGTGTTTTTTGTCACTTACACAGAATCTCCCTTTGTGTTCTGTTAGAATGTAGCCTTCGTCATGATACAGCTCAAATAGTGCGATAGCTTCTTCCTTGTTGTGGATTACATCACTGAGCTTTGATCCCAACAAAAGCCGTTGTTCAATATCTGCGGCCGCAGCTTTTGCATCTGATGATAACAATGGCTCTTGAATCTGAACAATGCAGATTGAAAAAAAAAATCAGAATATAGAACTCTCTTTCTTCAAGAAAGTTTAGATCTTTTTGATTGGAGATTACAAATCACCTTGTCTGGAGATTTTATGTTAAGGAACCTGTCAGCCGGGAAGAGGGGTTCCTCGTTATTGACATCTTTGATCAGAGGGGCTTGGCCGCTGATGAGATACTCGCTGAAAACCAAACCTGTAATGACAATATATATGTATATAATTTTGATTTTTCTTAGATTATATATTCACAAGATGGTGACTGAATTGCACGACTTTTTGGGGGGAAAGCCATTACTTGCACGATATGGGTTTAGAGTCCTGAGCTGGATGCATTGGTAGGATTTAAGATTGGTATACATATGAATCCATGTCACGACACTGAATGAAACGAGCGCGAGACTTGCGGAGGTCCCAACGTAATTGGCAAGCGCTATACCGAACAGCATGCCAATCGACTTGCTCACCATTCCTTGAGCTTCTCCCTTAGCAATCACCTGCAAACAATGATCCATCCAAGAGAGAGAAGAGAAAGGTTTCTTTTTTAAGTAGCAAGAGCAATTTGGAAACTTATAAATGATCCAAGAGCAAAGATATACCTCGGCAAAGTTTCTTTGAGAAGCAAAACCAGCATAAAAGCAACTCCTTGTAGCAGCCTGGGGAGAAGCAAATGAGAACCAAATTTCAGAGGAAGATTAGTTCTTCAATCCAATTTCATGTTTTCTGAGTTATTAACAGATTTTCAAGAGTTGAAAAAACACAATCTTGCGCTTAAACTATGACAACAGAACACTGGACTAGCCTTAAGACCTTTCCAGACAGAAGTCAAGACTCGATCGGCAATAAAAAAAGGTTCTTCAACCCAATTTCATATTTTCAGACTTACTACCAGATCTTCAAGAGTTGAAAAAACACGATCTTGAATTTAAACCATGAAAACAGAACACTGGACTAGCCTTAAGGCCTTTCCTACACTGACCACTCACTATGCTGACCTGAATCAATGCAGCAGCAGACCGGCCTGCACCAGCAGCAGCACCGATCACGACGAACAACTGAGGAAAGACCGGAGTCAGCATCTCCAACCCGAAAGCAGCATTTTCGAGAAGATCGGCAAATAACCGCCATCCCTTGGGATGAACATCGAAATGGCGGCCGTATTTGGACAACATTATCTTACTGAGATACCCAATTCCATCTTTAAGCACCCAATTGATGGCTGCAGCCGTGGGAATCGTTCCTTTCCCCAATCCAACTGCATAAAGCAAAGACTAGCAGACAACAACAACAGATGAACACCAACTGCCCACGAAAATGTCTGAACGACAGAGGCACAGAACGAACAGGGGACAATGTCTTCGTCTTCTACCTGAGTGGCGAGAATGCCGCTGATTTGGCTCGCAATGCCCTGAACGCCTCGCCAGAGAGAATAGTCCAAGTAATCGGAGGTGACGCTGTTTGGGAAACCTTCGGGAAGAAGGAACTGAATCAGAAGATTTTTGCATAGCGTCAGGAGATTTTGGGGAGACAGAGAAGATGATAATTCGAAGGATGATGATGCAGAGACGAACTCATCTCTGACGAAATCCGGAGCGAGTTGCTTCCATTTGCTTCCTTTCACTTCCCAAACCGTCTCTTTCTCGGTCGCTCCGTCGTTATCCGTCACCGGAGCTCTGGCTATGGCGGTGGTCGCTGATAACTGGAAATTGAAGAAGAGGCAAGACAAAACCAAGGAAACAAAGAAGAAGAATCGCAACGAAGAATCATCGGAATTCTCGCCGTCGCTGTTACGCCACCACCAACCACCACCTTCGCCGCCACCGTTGCGTCCGCTGCCATTGTTACCGTTGTCTCCGGTGAAAAGAGGAGGAAAGCAGTTCCTCATCTCAACCGATGGTTTATCAACACTTTCGTTTGCTGCGGCGAATATTCCGGCGGATCGAGAGAGCGAGTAAGGCTGCTGCCGGAGAATCGCCGCCGGATACGGGAGATAGGCTCGCCGCCGGAGAGAAGCATCTCTCCGTCCAAACAAGTTGATCATAGCTGCTACATACTAAGCAAGAAATGCAAATGTAAATGATGACTATATTTTCAGCTCGAAAGAATCACGAAACCATGTGAAGTATTTGACTTTTCGTTTTTTTACACATACCTTCTGATGTAATGCAGGGACTATAGCCCGCCTTCTTACACGCCATATTTCGCCATCAGCAGGTATGAGTCCTTTTCCCATGACAAAATCGAGAATTTCAGCTAAAATCCCCTAAAAAGTTGAAATTGAAAGATATAAGGAAGACGGAAAACAAGAAAAGAGGCGGTTATATATTCCCTGCTAGGAAAAATCACAAACAAAGAGTTAGAATTTACCTTGGAATAAGCTTTTGAGTTGTCCTTCAATATATGCTTAGCGATAGAAGGATCAGATACGATCAGGAATGACTACAGACAAAAAACCAACACCGGCGGGAGATCCGCCGCCGGATACGGGAGATAGGCTCGCCGCCGGAGAGAAGCATCTCTCCGCCACTCAACGGAGGAGAAAGTATTGCCGGAGAAGAGATAAGAACAACTCATCTTCTCTATAGAAATAAATGTCAGACTTTGGATTCCATTTTCAAATCCCTTTTTTATAAGAGAACAGTAACAAATCAAAATTAGGGTTTATGGTTTTGGGATAAAACCCTCAACTTATCCCGCCATTTTGCAGTTAAATTCAGCTGAATCCAGGTGAAATTAGGGCTCACAGATCGACGATCATAGTGAATAAAGATATAGAGAAGCTGTGGAGAGCTGAGCATGGGAACCGAAATCGATCGACTCGATTCTCCACCGTCGCATAATCTCCGGCCGCAAATCGCCACCGGCCGGCGATAATTCTCTGACCATATCCGTCGTTCCTCACCGGAACTCTATTGAACGACATCGTTTCCGTGCATCTCACACCCAACGTCCTATAAACGCAGGTCTTTTCTCTGGTTCATTCCTTTGTCCTGTTTCGTTCTTTTTTTTCTTGCGTTTTTTTTTTTCCATTGAGTAGAAATTCGATGGGAGTTACTGATTTGGTTTTACCGCCGGCGACTCCTCCTGCTCTTCCGGTCAATCACTCCGCCGTCCGGAGCTTGGGAGATGACGCCAGCCTCCGACCCCAACTCTCTCTCCGGCGACCCAAACGAAACCGCAAAAGCGTGAAGCTTCAAGCAGAACCCATAATCCAGAACCCAAAACCCATCGTCACCGAACGCTTGATCGGAGATTATGGTGGCCGTAGCAATGGAATCATGCAACAAGCTGATTCTCGTTGCTCAGTTTCCGACATCCTTCGGCTGACAACCAGTCTCTCTCTCCCTGTGACAGAGGATCTCTACTCTACCTTGGCTGAGGAATGCACCGCGACGTGTAACGGTCGTGGAGCGTATGAGCTCCAAATTCATATCGTGAACTCCGGCTTAAGGCCGACAATGGCTTTGCTCAACCGTCTCCTTCTGATGCACGTATCGTGTGGTCACTGGAACATCGCCCGCCAACTGTTCGATAAAATGCCCGACAGAAATTTTCATTCCTGGGCTATTGTGATTCCGGGGTGCGTTGAAGCTGGTGATTACGACGACGCGATTGCTCTGTTTTCAGCTCTTTTGAGACACCAGGATGGTGCTTGGGATCTTCCGGCTTGGATCATGGCCCGTGTTCTTAAAGCTTGTGTCTTGGTCGGAGATTTGGACTCAGGGAAGCAGGTTCATGCCTTGTGTCTCAAATTGGGATTTGTCACCAAGGATTTATATCTATCGAGTTCCTTGATGCATTTATATGGGAGACTCGGTTGTTCGGAAGATGCTAACCTTGTGTTCGACCAGCTATCACATACCAACACCATTGCTTGGGCAGCGAAGATTGCTAACGACTGTAGAGGAGGACAGTTCCACGAGGTTATCCACAATTTCATCGAAATGGGCAGGAATGGGATCAAGAACAATGTATCGGTTTTCTATAACGTCTTAAAGGCATGTGCTTGGATGAGCAATGGAGAAAGATGTGGGCAGCAAGTTCATGCTAATGTCATAAAGCTCGGGTTTGAATCAGATTGTTTCGTCGAAATCGGGCTGGTTGAAATGTATGGTAAATACGGGCTGGTGAGAGATGCGGAGAAGGCGTTTGAACGTACAAAGGGCGATAGAAATATTACCTGGTGGAAGTGGAACGCTATGGTCACATGTTATACACAGAATGGATTTTATGTTGAGGCCATTAAGCTTCTCTATCAGATGAAAGCCTCTGGCTTTGACATCCAGGATGCGCTCATGGACCAGGGCGTGTGGTTCTAATAACAGACGATGAACGAATTCATGACTATAGGACTATACATATATATGTATATAACATTGTCAAAGTCGGAAGAATTCAACCCATCTAATGTTACTTGTGATTGCAGAGGAAAACGAGAAGGGATGAGTACAGACCAAAACTAGAAAAATCTTCAAGGTCATTTGGCAGATTTCGGTGAAGAGACAGGAGCTGTTCTTGTGAAGAGATGCCCTACTGCTGTCTTGTTAGTGTGGTCTTGGTTCATCAATGGTTCAGATTCCTTTTCGGTAGTCGGGATGGAACCTGCAGTTGCATTCCTTTCTCTGTAGGATGCCCAAGTGACGCAGTAGAGGCCCAAAATGATCGCAAATCCGCCTACAATGCTAACAACAGAAGAAGAAGAAGAAGAAGGAGAAGAAGAATCAGCTTGTAAGAAAAGGGCAACCTTCAGATTCAACGTAAGAGTATCAAAAAGAAAGAGAAACGGGCGAAACCTTCCCAAATAGATGGGGTTTCCTAGGAAGATTCTGGACAAAAAGGCCGATGCTGCAGGTTGAAGAGGGTTGTAGAGAGCAACCAATGATGGCCCCAAGATCTTGTTCGACCATGTCAAAAGACCATAGTTGAGTGCAGAAGCAATAACTCCCTTCATAGAAGAAGCAATAAGCCACTCATTGGAAAGGAACCCTGGAAGGGATGTGTGTATACATTTAGTGTGTGTGTATGTATATAGTATCAAGAGCCTACAGCATAGAGAACTGCCAATAACTCAGATTGCGTGAGATTCCAATCCATGGTAGAGTCGCTGGTCATGAAAATAGCTGCGATCACCATGAACAGCGTTCCGAAGAAATAAGAGTAAGCTGTTACTGAAAGATTCGCTTTGTACTTCTTCAGAAGTGGAGCCTGATGTGTTTATACCAGAACAAGAAAGATCGGTTAGAGGAAGAACATGTTCGTTCACTGGTCGGATCTTCCATAGTTATGGGTTCAGACCAGATACCTGAATGGCAAGGAAAGCAGCCATGGAAGCACAGTTCCCGACCAAGCACAGAACTCCGAAGTGCCATTGTCCGGAAGATGGTTCACCCTTTCTGCTTGCCTGTATATCGTTATGTACCGAAAACTCGACATCTCTTTCCCCGAACAAAGCCGGGCCACGGAACAAAACCATCAGTACCGCTCCAACAACACAAATAACCGTGCCCCCGATCTTAGCTTGACCTTCCAACCTGAATAAGTTCATTCTCTCTGTGCTGCAGAATGACAGGTTGAGAACGGAGGGTTACGTTCAGTTTTTCGGGTTTGCAAGAGAATGAGAAAATGATCGGTTTCTGATACTTACCCCATCATGACAGCGAGGATGAAAGTGAAGACGGGGATAGATGGCTGAATGGCTGCAGCATATGTCGGGTTCGTGTAGTTTAGACCGATAAGGAACAAGAGCTGGTTGCCGAATATCCTGTCGTAGATTTAAGATATGGATCGATGTCTATAAGAGTTGTCCGAAAACGATATCTTTCGGATTATAGATCGAGGAGAAAGGACTTACCCTGTCAATCCGAGGAAGATGAAGGTCAAGAGAAAGCGTCTGTTCATAGGCGGTCTGGTCTTTCTGCGAACCAAGAACTGAAACCTTTAGAAATGATCCGAGGATTTTTACCATGACCATCACTTGTTTCAATTGAACCAACAACCGGACAAATAAATTCGAAAAATCGGATATCCGGTCCTATCTGTAAATTGTGGGCACTGGTCCATCGACGGAAGGAGTTGGGAACCGACGATGGCGAGAACCCGACCTTCGGATTCAGATGTCAGATGGCGAGAGCCTATATCTACGGATATTCGTTTCGCCCTCATTGCCTAGGGTTAGAGTTTAGTGCTCCTTGCGTCTGGCTCGTCCCATATCCTAAAATTCCGAACCTCGGATTCCGAACATGTTCGGTCCGACGATGAATTCTGAACCACGGGAATCCGATATCCTAAAATTCCGTACAATCTAAACGCTAAATCGAAGTGTGGATCTAACAAAAGACGATCCGATGAAAATAAAATCAAGACATACTTATCGAGGAAGAAGGCGAGGGGGAGGAGGATGGAGAGAGCGATGAGATCGCGAAAGACGCAGAAGACGAACTCGTTCACGCCCACGTCGAGTGCCGATTTGGTGATGACGTGGTACCCTCCGTTCAACAGTTGAACCCCCACCATCCCCACGTGCGCCCTCCACTCCCCCATTTTCCGACCGGACCAATCTCGTGAACTGCCTCGGATTCCGATCAAACAGAAACCGTAAAAAAAAAAAGAACAAATAAGATTCGGAAATCGCTTCCTTGATCTCTCTCGCTTGTTCTGTAATAAAACCCCAGAGAGAAGGTTGCTCTCAATCGAACAGAAATAGATTATGACACTATGCTTCCGACACAAGCATTGCATGAGCAAGTTTTTTTTTAAAAAAAAAATCAAATAATTAAGAGAATTAACCCAAATCCGGAATGTCCGTACGAAATTCCAGAATCTTCTTCAGCTCCCGCGACAGCCCCGGCGCTAATCCCGCCGCCGCCGCCATATCGCCGCCGATCTTCTCCTACACGCATTTGCCTCTTCAGTATTCTTCTTCGATGTCCCACCGGATCTGAGATCTTTATGGGCCGGAGCCCAATTAATTAGTTATAGCCAATGAGTCTTATTTATTGAATGAAAATTTGGTCTAATATGTACACGGGCTGCCCATTTTAATGTTTCCATTGACAATGGTAAAAGTTTTTTTTTTTTTTTGGTAAAGGGTGAATGCCAAATGGTAAAAGTTAAATTTATCACATCGTCAAAACTCAAAAGCCTAATAACGAAATTCTATGTATACCACATGAATCCAAACCATGGGAGGAAAAAACTGTGACATATATGAATTAATAATTTAGTACTACACCTATTGTTTCGCTTGTAACATTTTGTTAGCATCTAATTTTATATTTTATAACAATAATCACGTAGAATTCAAACCATTGTAACATATGTATATGGGCATGTCGTCGTTATTGTTTTTATATATAGGAAATTTAACTCTAAATACCGAAACTTGATATTTGACTAACATGATTTTTCAAGTGCAAGGTTTTTAAAATGACATTTGGACCGTCTAAATGTCGTCTAAAATGAAAAAGAAAAAAGTGACTCGTTACAAGGTCCGATCGAGCCGATGTGATCATAATAATGGCACAAATAATTAGGGCTATAGATTATAGTCCAAGTGGGCTACCCCCACATAAATATCTGGCCCGACCAGGATAGCCTATTATCTATAAAAGCACAAGTACTTGCATGATGAGCATACATACATACATGTAGAGTATTATACTACATGTGTGTTGAGATATATAAAAAATATTATCAGATATATCTCTTGAGATATATAAATAATATTATGAGATATATCATATCATAAAGATCTTATCAGATATAGAAAATAGAGATTTAGAAAATTTTATGAATATTTAATGTAATATCTAATTTACTTATTTAATTTGAGACTCTCATGTATTTATAATTCATTTGATTATTAATAAAAAAATCATATCATTCCGCAAATTTCTACATGGTATCAAAGTTTCGATTCTTTTTCTATTTTTTTTTTCATCTTCATGAAAAATGTTTGTTGATAAGGAAAGTGAAAATGAAGACGAAGATGATATACCGAATCCAATGGTAATATTGTTTTAAGTTTTTTATTAAAAATAAGGGAGTCATTTTATTTTATTTTATTTTATTTTTAATTTTCTCTCATAATATCACATATTTCAAAAGATTATTCGCATAACCACAAAATTATCTTAGTCTTGCAAAAATTTGTTGTCATTAAAACGCTTTCGCGTAATTGTTTTTCAATCTCGGATGAATCAAAATTATTACTGAAAATCTTTTTTGCATCACGATTGTCATCTTTTTTTGTTATCATCGAACGGTTCTTTTATGCGTGTTGTCAAATTTACAGCGCAGTCGTTCGTTTGATTTTTTTTTTCAGTTATGTCTTCTATTGACATAAGTTCCAAGGTGATGTGGTTCAAGCGGCATGCGTTTTATCATCTTTTCAATAATTGGACGTTTCATGATTTTTCATACTCCAACTTGAGGGGATGTTAAGATATATGAAGAATATGATGAGATATATCCTATCGTAAAGATCAAATCTAGAAAATAGAGATTTAGAGAGATTTATGAATATTTGATGTAATCTCTAATTTACTTATTCAATTTGAGACTTTCATGTATTTATAGTTCATTTTATTATTAATAAAAGATCACATCATTCCGCAAATTTCTACGATATCCATACATACCTAGCAAGATTTGAGGATATCATATTCGAAATATGTTTTAATTAAGTATTTACACAAATATCCGAGACAAATTAATTTACAAAAACATTAATATACGACAAAAAAATTGTTCATTCCAACAGAAAAAAGCTCATGATTTGTATAGGTTAGACGACAATATTTTTGTATAGGTTATTAAACATTTTTCGTCGACACAATCCAATATTTAGGACATGATTTTTTTTTCATTACAATACTATTTATGATGATTTAGACTTATTTAGCAATGCCAAAATCACAATATCCGAAATATTTTGAAACCCTAATAATTTTCGTTTTTTTGGGATAAAGGAAACCCTAATAAATTTCATTGGAGCAATGCATAATGAATGCATTTTGAAACAGTAAAATGTAACAAAAGGAAGTGTTGTATTACATCATTGCTGAGCAAATGCTTTAGACATCATAAGCATGATTGTGATTTAACTAGTTAATCATGCATATCTATCTTCATTATTTTAGATTTTTTTTTCATGAGTTGATGTTATCACAATGATGGCGGTTCATTCCTTGTAATTATCAAATTTTATTTTATCATAGTTTCTGCTAGATCAAATATTTATACATGCCATTAAAATCTTAGTAACCAAGGATCTTGAACCTTTTTTTTTTTTTTACCTATTTCATTTATTTTGGTATATATATGCAACTGTCTTATAGAAAATACAATTGGGAGATATGACCATAGTTTCCAAAAAGTTTTGATAATTAAAATTTTAAATTTTAAAATAAAAAACATTTATAATATTTTATATGTTTTTTTTATCCAATATTTATTTTTTGATATCAAGTGGATATATATATATATATATATATATATATCACCTATAATGATATGATATGTTGAGATTTTCAAGCTCACAATGATTTCAAATATGATATAAAATATTTTCTTCCACTCACGAAAAACGATAGAATTGTCTGCAAAACTAATTAAATCATAATCATTGAGCACCTAATTTATTTTATTTTATTATTATTATTATTATTATAGTAAAACAATCTAATGCGACAACAATATTTTTATTTTCATTAGTATTATATTTTCTGATTAAAATAGTATTATATTTTCATTTATATTTTTAAATTTATTTAGTTATGTTTTGGACCATGAATATCGCATGATTTGAATGTTTTTATAGTAGATTTGCCCGGAATCGAATATATTAGTTTTATTCTTTTAGCCTTTTGTTCCTTTGGTCAAATTATTTCGAGATTTGTCCGACTTGCGAAAACCTTATAATATACATTTTTTTTTTGCTAATTAAGAACTTTAGACCTCGTTAATAATTTTAGGTCCGAATAAACTATTTTCCATATTGACTTTCTCATGTCATTATTAAGAAGATTTTCATGAAATGTTAGGTTTAAAATTCGTTTTTATTATATATATTTTTTTTTTCAAATCACTAAACTAAAAGCCATGAACAATATGAGTAAATGATGCTTTAAGAAGCATCCTTTTGTACCACTTGTTCATGGGTTATCTATGATTTTGTTGACAGTTTCTTGGCTGGATGTAAATTATATCTAATTATCTACTATATTAATACAAATCACTTTTACCAAAAAAAAAAAGCCATGAACAATTTGGGGCAATGCCAATTAATATATCTTTTTTTTGGTGAAAATTAATATATCTTCGTTCTCAAAGAAAATTTACGAGTAACAACAACAACAATAATAATAATAATTGATTGATTTATGTTCCTCTATTATTAAAAATAATCAATTTTATATTTAAAATATATTTGCTTAAATTCAGTCCACTTGAAAAATGGGAAACAGTAGTGTATATGTATGGTGACTCAACCATATGCGATTTCCAAAAGTGATAAAAAAATATATAAATACTGAAAATATAAAAAGGATAGTATATTAAAAAGGCAAAACAATATTAAAAATGGTTGCTTTTCACACATCCCGATTTTCAGAAAATCAAGGATTCATATCTCAAGAACAAAATATTAAAAATCCTCTAGGTGCTAAAACATTAAAAACGATAAAATAAAAAATACAAAAAATTCAAAGCAAATTATATGGATCAACTTATTTTTTTTTGGATAAAATATATGGATCAACTCAATAGTATGGTTGTGTATAATTAATCTCTTTAACTCTATAAATTTTAACAAATCCTAATGTAATTGTTGTCGTTATAATGAGTTTAAATATATATTTTAGTTTTACTTTTAGTAAATTTCTAATTACATAGCATATAGTTCACAAATAAAAACATATAATAATATGTAAATTTAAATTCTGTACAAAATTACTAATATCTGCTCCGATTCTCATCATTTCTTTTTATCGGTTGACATAATATTTATACTTATCAGAAAATGTATTATTTGTTAATTGAACCTTGTTATGATAATTTCGTGGTCTAAAAAAAGTTGTATATATACTGTTGTAGAATATATGACATTAATTCAACATAGTTCAATAAAATTTTATGGTTTTTTCATCCGGAAAGATTAATTCTATTCTCTTCGCTGTTAATTATTATAATAAAATATCAAATGATTAAAAGAAACGTGGATCACAAATATTTCCACACCCAAAAACCCTAAAACAAAAGGTGGCAACAAGCATACGTATTAGGCATGGGTTCACCTTCTCCGTTCACATTCTTTATAATTATAGCCACCAATTCACTATGCACGAAACTATATATATCAATCTATATATATAGACCCCTATACCTGTATGCATTGGTGCCAATAATACACCTAATTTCCGGTCTTTATCTCCTCCCATTATTTGTTTTTGTCTAAAATGTCAAGTATAGAGATTCGAAATGATTTAGATGTCTACGTATATGCACATACCTACACACACATATATATGTATATATATGATTAAAACTACAAAAAGAAAATTATTTAAATATCTGGTTAGAGGTTTGGGGGGGGGGCATAATTTTAAGAGAGACGACAAAACGTTACTGATGGAAGATCTTCCTCTTTATCACTTTATTTCCGTCACGTCTGCATTGAAAACACACACGCACACTTAGAAATTCATTTCATAATCACGCCATCTAGCGTGCATTATGTATATATATATATATATATGTGTGTGTGTGTGTGTGTGTGTGTGTAGTTAAACTCGTATACAGACGAATATCTACGCCGTAAAATTGCCAAATTTTACAGAATTGTTTTCACGACAAGTATAAGTTACGATACTGCAT